CTATGTCTGCACTCAGGTAACACTCCTCCATTGTTACTGGTCCAGCACAGGTTCAACGGAAACCCCAGGAAAGCAAGGAAAACATTAGGTCCTCTGTTTGAGATAAAGAACTATAGACTGCAAAGTGTAGTTTTTAATTTTATATATATACATACATACATATATGTGTATAGTATTGTAGGATATTCACGCAAAAACAAAACACTGAGCTTTCTGACAAACAAGCGTAGAGTATATAGAAACCTGGCAAGATGTTTTAGCAACTGTGGGAGTAGGTTGAATCAACTGTCTGTGTCCCATGAGATAAATCTGACACTGGAATACCAGGTTTAAATGGAGGCAGCTTCTCTGGAGTATGAAGTTTATTTTATCCCCTCCCATTAGCAGTGCCTAGAGCAGCAGATGCTCCGTGCTGTGGCAGCCAAGGAGGGATCATGCTGCTGCACACTCCTATCCCAACATGGCTGCTTTCTTAGAGCTCTGCCTTAAAGTATTTGTATTTTGGCATCACCCTTGCTCAGATGGTGCATTTTTCAGGACAAGAACATGATCACTTCTTATGTGTAAGATATTCTCCCCGGTGGATCTTGCTGCCAGCTTCTTTCTGCTATGAGTAGGACTGCTGATGAGGGCATGGGAAAGGCAGTGCTGCTGAAGGAGCAGCTCTGGTCACGTATCATGAAGAGGCCACTGCTTTCAGAGCTGCAGGCACATCAGTCTGTGAGAGGTACTGTGGCCCTAAGCTAATGGGATGAGTCAGCCCTGGGGCAGCTCTGCCATGGCTGCAGTGCCACCAACCCAAACAAACCCATCCCTGCTTCACCAGCTTGGTTACCTCAAGTAAACTCAAAGGTCACAGTGCTGCTAATTGAGATGTGGCTGAGTACTAACAGCTCTAACGTTAGAGGACAGCAGTAAGAATTGCTCTAAGGCTTTATTTTTGTGTGCAGCCCTTAAGGGTCAGAAATAATTTGTCCCCAAGCATGTTTAAATATAGATTCTGCTATTGAAAAAGTCATGTAGTGTAGGATTAGTAGAGTATTCCTGTGAAGCACACAAGTAAGTCTGTTTTGTATAAAGTCCAGTTGTGCAAATTCCTGGCCCAAGAGGCAAACCACAGTCTGTTTCTCTTATGCAGTACCATCAATGTCTATATAGTTAGTTGTTGGTTCTTTTTTCACACTAAATTATGCCTACATCACCAGATGTAATTCTGCAAACTTTAATTTCTATAGCTTGATGCTCTCTTCCTTTCAGAAGAGCTCAGTGAAGTCTGAGAGAGGAAAGTACAAGCAATAATTTCCTCATATATCCCATCTGAAATGAGCCTTATGAGGGATATATATGCACTATTCATCCAGTGTACTGGGACATTAACAGTACAGAGCTGTTTACCTATTTTGCAGCTAGGTAAAATAATGTACAGGTACAGATTTTCTTGCCTGAGAGCATGACACAAACTTTAAGGCTCAAATTATCGCAGGAATTTCCCCTCGCAGTTCCTCAGTTTCCCTGGGCAACACTTTGCACTGTGCATACAATTGATTGGTGTTTTCATTTGCACTGGTTTCATTGCAACACGTTTCTCTCACTGCCCAGACGAACGGGAGGAGGAACGTCTATAAATCGATGATGATCCTACTGACCCCGCTTGTGTTTCTTTTCTGCTCCTTGAGGTGTCCATTCATTCTCTGGCTTTCTAAGTTCAGCTTCAGATTTCCTCACCACTTTTGTATAATTTCCTTTTTAAATAATATCTAGTTTAATATCTTCAAAACATGAAGATGAGGTATGAAAATCACTACTGATCACACAAATAAGCAGTTTTAATGCAGTATTAAAAACATGGCTCTTCTACACCGCTAACCTTGCATGGATTTACATACATCTCTGAGCTTCTTAGGGCAAAGAACCTGTAATTTGCCACAAAGCAGCTCTTGTATCGTGGAGTGGCATTCATAATAATAGCACCAGGTAAATAACACAGGGATTCAAAGACAAAATTTATCCCTTAAGGTCAATCTGGATTAATATAAGAAAAGTCCTCAAGGGAATTTAGGAACTATGAAGCAAGGAAATGGATTATATTAATCTGTAAAGTCCATGTTTCTTTTGAGGACTGACAGATAAAATGCAGATAATAGTTTTTATTTGGTTATTAATGTTAGCGTTATTAACGTTTTGGCAGTGGATGTCCATTACACATTATATCCAAGATACAATTATACCAACTGTGGGGCAGCTGCCAATTATTCTCCACAAAAGCCCATTTGCATGGCTCTGTTGTTCAGTTTATATACTGAAATGTGTATACGAACCCATTTGTTGTGCTAGCCCAGCCCTTCTGTTCAATTGCTTATACACCTAAACGTAATTCTTCTGAAATTCCTGTTGAGGTGCCTTCTCAATTCTGCTGTGGCTAAGCTATGTAGAGATGCTCATTCTCATGGAGGCCTAAAGCACAATGCTGAGTAACTAAGATCCTAGATAACACTGGATGAGATCTGTGTGGTTAGAAGGTCTCCCTTCTATAAGCCAGCCCCAAAGGAGAGCCTCAGGTAAGACCCACCCAGAGGATAGGATGGTGCTGCTTGCCTTGCTGTCCTCCTGCCTGCAATGCAGTGCCTTATGGTAGAAGTATTCATGAAGAACAGAGTTGGGGTGTAACTTAAATACTGTCTATGTTTTCATATCCTTGGCTTGGAACCCAGGTACCATGCAAACTTCATAACCACTCACCTATAAAATCATATTAGCTGTTGAATTGCTTTATATACAATAAGACTGCTCTAAGAAGATATATGCTACTACCTCAGGAGAGGCTGCAGTGCAGTGGCTACATCATTCTCCTGAGAACTGAGGCATGTCAGTTCAAATTCTAGCTCTGATCACACATGACATTTCATTTTAGGTGTCCCATCTCCTCCTTGCAAATTCTTAAACGAGTACTGCTGCTAGCATTGCTTGGCTTTGTATAAAGATTGTACTTATTCAGTGGGAAAAGGAGATAGTGCTTTTTAAAAATTAATTAATGAATGTGAATGGGGAGCTCTGGATTCCCATTTCAAGCAAAGCAGAACCACTTCAGGAAAAACGGGATTCTCTGCAGACCCCTCAATCTCATGCTTACCGCTTACTTATAGATTTCTTTTCTTTTAGAGGGAAATGAGGACTAACCCTGGTTCTCCACATCCTTCTGACAGCTGAGATTTGGGGGATCTGTGAGGGATGCTGCTACAATATTGCTTTTGGTGAGAAAATCTCTAATGTTCCTACAACACAGAGGGATTCTACAGTGAACCCCACTGCAGCAGATGCAGAGTCCACAGCACAGGGTGGAATACTGTGTGGAGGTCTGTCACCCTACAGCAGGCATCAGTGCAGTGCTTTTCTCCACACGGAAAGCACAGTGAGGAATTAGTGCACCAAGTGGAAAGCAACATGAGAAATTAGTGCATCAACTTTGTCACAACACAATGGCTGCAGGGAAAGCTCAGAATGATGCCATAAAATAGATTGAAAGGTAATTTCTAATTAATCACGTTCATCCAGGATGACATAAAGCAGCCTTAAAATTTCTGGGAATTAGCCCAGCAATTTTAACTTCAGCAAACACTGTCACGGTTACTTCAGAACTCTCTATAAATCACACTCAAACAGGCATAAAAGAGTTGAAACAACTTTTAACCAGAGGTGGGGGAAGAGTATTTGCTTTTTAAATACAGATGCTATTTGTGGAAAGAATACATTTTTGATGAAGTGTTCAGAATCAACTGATACATGTGATTGATGTCCATAATAATTGCACACTTCTATAATCCTTCCACTCCAATAAATGTTTCAAGCTTATATTTTGGATTTCATTAATACTTAGACAAAAACAACTTGTGGACAACATCATGAAAGCATGAGAATTAATCTATGTTGTATAACTGGTTAATAATGATGGATACTTTTTCTTCCTGGAGTAAATACTAGCTAATTCGCTAGACCTCCCTCCTCTCTTCATGAAAAAGCCAAGTCCAAATGATTTCATGGGTTTTTAAAGAATGGTGGCAAGATATTGCTTACGTAAAGCTGAATTTCTCCACTTGATAAATATCTGATGCTGCTACAGTGCTAACACTTCTGATGTTTTTAAATTTCTAAGAGAGAACACAGCAAATCTAGGAACACAGACAAACTGAGGGAAAAAAAAAAAAAAAAGAAAAAAAAAGAGGCAGCTGAAATATATCTGTGGAAAGAGACTCAAAGTGAAACGATCACGCTTATTTTTATTCTTGATAAGCAGCGGGGCAGCTTGGAATAAACACAGATAGAAATTTTCTTCGTCTTTTTAATGAGTTCAAAGAGGCTAAACAAAGACACTGAAGAGTTGAACATCGCTGCGTACAGCACAGTAAACAGATTAAAATTTTATACCTGAGCAAAAAAAGGAATTTAACTATTAACTACAGCATGCAGAATAACTGATAAGTTATCGCATAAACGTAGCATACTGTTATTAGGTTACACTCATTCAGATGCTCTTAATTTTTACTGAAGCTGAAGATGGAAAAAGCTCCAAGATGAGAGGAGTGTGTGAAATAAAACCACAATAAGAAAAAGTACATTGCCATCTAGCAGCCTTTCCAGAAGATCAAAATTATCTGCTGTTTTATTACGCAGGGAAAAAGCAGCAACAATTCAAAGCCTGTGGAGTTAATAACACGTCAGACATTTAAGCAGGTCTTGAAAATTAAAATATTGGCAGTTTATGATGTGCTCATAAAAGACCTGAGCCTGCATCTCCTCCCTCAAATGCCACTTAAAAGCTCTGTGTTTACAAGCTCTTCCAAATGTGGAATTAAAGGTAGGGATCTGCAGAGAATTACTGATGAGGTCCCAGACTTGCAATTTTTCTCACCAACATAACCATAGCCAATTCATAAGAGATGACTTCTGACCCCATTTGATTGACCCAAATCCACCTTTACCTTTCTTCATACCAAATCTGGTATTTTTTCCTTTTCTCTTTCCCCTAATCCATTCAGAATATTCTGGTTTGAAGTGCTTCAGTGCGAGTCAGAAACAGTACCGGATCTCTCTATTTTCCTTATCTCCACAAATGGTCCCTGTGGGAGAAAAAGTGGCTGAAAAGTTTGAGCTTTAACCAGCACAGCCCATTTTCCCCAGACAGGCTTCATTCTTCCAGGAGACTTCTATTCTCCCTGGTCTCTACATGCGGTATACAAGTTGCCTGCTGCCATCAGCAGTATTCCTGTGCTACAAAACAGCCATTTACCTTCCTATAGCCAAAGCAGCAAACTCTGTCTTTGTCATTTAGACTTGTCAAGTAGGGATGGGAGGGATGGGGTTGTCTCTTACCATGTTACAGACAGCCACAAACAAAATATCTCTCTTGTTTTCTCGGAGTTGTGTAGTCACATCCTCGTGGTGCCAACCTACTCCCCTCAAATCATATCATCTGCCTTGACTTGCCTGCTACTTTTCTTTCACCTTTTATGAGTAAAACTACGCATTAAAAATGCATGTGTCAGAATGGATTTATTCCTTTGTCCACAACATGTGCAGTTCTTCTTTAAAGTCAGAAATCTTAGACATTGGTAGGTTGTGTGAAAGAGTCTGCAGGGAACTGACTCTTCTTTGCTTCCAGTTTCTTCCTGGCTTTGAAAGCTGCTGACACTTCAGGGTGGATGGAGTCTAGCCGCTGCTCGCACTGAAAAGCTGTGAGGAAGGCCGTCCTGTAGTTGTTATTCATCCAGCCATAGAGAAGGGGGTTAGCAAATGTTGAGCACATGGCAATGACATGAAACACCGTGTAGATCAGTTTATACTCTTTCAGGTCCAACACCTGACTGTCAATATCGCTGACGAGCTGGAAGGCATGGAATGGCAGCCAACTGACAGCAAACACAACAACCACGCAAACCAGCATCTTGGTGGTTTTCTGACGCCGGTGGTGGTAGTGGTCGTTCCCCGCCCCAGGACTAACATGGTTCTTGAGCTTGGTCCAAATGCGGGTGTAGGCGTAGGAGATGATGGCCAGAGGCAGCACGTACTGGATCAGGAGCATGGAGACACTGTAGATGGTGCCATAGTTAAGCTGCCCCTCCCCTGGCCACTTCTCAGAGCAGACCACAATCTTGAAGTCAGGAATGATCTCAATCAGCGAGTACTCGCGGAAGATGGCCAGAGGGCTCGCCAACAGGGCACTGACTGCCCAAGCAACTCCTATGATCAGGAAGCTGATACGCTTAGAGATTTTGCTTTCCAAGTGATAGACAATACAGCGATGTCGATCCAAGGCAATCACAGTCAATGTAACAGTAGACACGTGCACAGCAAGAGCTTGGGCATAAGGCACTAAGTGGCACAAGACTGGGCCTAATTTCCACTCACCCAATAGTGTGTAAACTAGAGTGAAAGGCAAGCACAAGGTGTTCACCAGCAGATCAGCCACGGCCAGGTTGGCGATGAAGAAGTTGGTCACCGTGCGCATGCTTTTGAACTTGATGATCACGTGGATCACAAGAGAGTTCCCGATCACCCCCAACAGAATGATGGAACAGTAAGCAAAGATGAGGATTATCTGCACCTCAACTAGCGTTGTGCTGTCCTTCAATTCTGGTTTGGGGTCAAGAGCCAGTTCATTGAGTGGTGTGGTGTATCTTGGCAAGTACAGCTTGGTGAACAACTCCATCTTCATTTCATCTGTCTGGTTTTCTTCACCCATTGCTTCCAGGGGCCCCATCCTTTCAGTAGCAATAGCTCTGCCCCTGAAAAACAGAAAAACACAAGAACACACTGAGAAATCAGTCTGCAGTGGCTAAGGCAAGAAGTAATGAGCTAAAGGTAGAGCAGTTTTCTTCTCTAACCTAAGTTCTGCATGTCACAATTGAGAGAAGACCTGTTTTAATATATTTAAATTATGTTGGCCTTACTTTTCAAGCTTGATCCTGTAATATTATTCAGGCATGACTCTTGATGAAAATTGGGACAGATTTCAGAAGCAGCTCAAAGACAAAGTTTGCCTAAGTAAATGCAGCAGGATTAAGATCCAGCTGGGCAGTATATCCTTTTTTCAGAAACCACTACCTAAGTGTAGTAGTTATGTAGCACAAAACTTTCACTAATACCCATGGTATTCTACATAGAATGGCACCATCCAGACTGTTATTAGCATAATAACATTCCAGCTTTTCCTTAATGGAAAGCATTTCCTACCAAATTCCTATAGGTTTATATCTTAGTTTCAGAGAACTAAATATTGATGTCTTTCTTTAATAAACTTTCTTCTAAGAAAGTCAGTGCCACAAGGCAAACAAAAGCACCACTCTAGCAGAACTGAAAAGACAGCATTTCTCTGAAATGGCTGTGTAACCTATTCATGCTGAAATTAACACAAGAAACGATTAAAACTCAGATATAAATAATATTTCCTTTTTGACTAATGCCTGAGAAAACGCAGTTCCCTGGATGCTGCCCATCGGTTCTTGTCTGCAGTCCTGTGACTGCAGGCAAATCATTACCCTTCTAATGTCAGTGAGAACTTCACCACTGGCATCAAAAATCACATTTTGTTGGCTTCCCCACACAGGCTGAGCCAAATTCTGCTCAGCTAACCCATACTGCCCTAATACAGAGTAGGTATGGATGGATAAATGGATGTTTTATAGTCTTCATATAGGGACTTCAACCCTATATGAAATGTGCCTGTTCTCATGCAGACTCTCCAAACCTTGGGTGACATGGTAAGGAAACACCACGCACATGGAGGCTCCATGGTTTGACCTCTGCAAATACTAAGAAAATGTCAGTGCACAGTGGGCTCACAGAAGAAACTCCACTGGTTGCCACTGAGGGTAAAGCCAAAGCTGAGTGACTGCTTTACTTTCCCATTCATACATACCCTAAGGAAAGCAAGAGTAGAGAAGTAATGTCACTTCCTTGCCATGAGATGTTACATATGGTTCCACCTCGATTTCAGGTCTGCCTAAAGAAATATTCTTGCTGTTAAAACCTGTGGTTTCATGCGGCCTTTTTATTTGTGATGATCGTGATTTCAATCCCATCCACTTCACTGCAGATCTCCATTCCTACCTGTGTCTCCACTGACATGTATCAGCGACATCCCTAGGTGTGATTTCCTAACCAAATTGCTGTACATGTGCATCTGTATCCTGTGACTGGCTACTACAGCCAGAAACAAATACTGTCTGACAAGATGTGACTTTGTGTTTTGCTTTCATACCACACAACATCCCAAAGAATTTCTCAGTGCAAACCTTCTATTTTTCTTTTTTTTTTTTTCACATACTGGAAGCTATTTTCTCCCAGACTACGCTGGTCTTAATTATGCTATACCATTTCTGCACAATTAATTAACAGTGCAGGCTGAGATGTGCAGCATGGTGAGGTACACAGCTGAGATGTACTGCTGTTTGTAGAAGCTTACCCCACAATTTCAAACAATGTAATCATTTACTGACTATGTGTAAGCAAGGGTAGCAGGACAGGATTTCTTATCAATACACCTTTAGTCCAGCAGGTAGGAAAAGTGAAAGATCCCTGTAAATTTGCACAGCCAAAGCAATGCAGATGTCCAGAGGTCGCCTAGAGCTTTTTCCTTCAACCTGTGTACCTGCACACAAGAATTATGCTTACATACATATATTAGTGAAGCAGACATAAAGCAGTGAGGTCTCAGAACTGTCAGGTGCTCCAAGATCTCATCATTTTTTTTTCCTTGCAAAAACAAAAGGCATATTTACACACTGTAGTAGTAGTGCAAGAGGGAAGGCAAATTTCAGTTCTCCCTTGCTTTCTACAAATCCAGGGAGCATGATGGAACTCAGCCAAAAAAAAGATAGCATCCCTTTCTTCCCCAAAACATTTTTGCTATTTTCTCCTATCTCTGAATTCTCATGATTCCTACTTCAAACCTACTATTTAGCAAAGCCTTCTTTTGTTCCACTGCTTTTATTCTGTTTGTTACTGCCTTGTTTGGGCCGATGAAAGGCGTTTTGGTCTTGCGTGACCAAAGCGGAGGGTGGGAGAAGGGAGCACTGGTGTCTCCAGCTGAGATGAGTTGGGGACTCAGGAAGGGACGAAATAAAATGGGAAAGTCTGGCATTGCTAGTGGGACATTCAGTAGGCAAAGGATCAGCTGTTGTCCTAGAATGGGGAAGCCAGACAGCATTTGACAAGATCCTTCCCGTTCTTAGCTTAAACTGTCCATCCGATGATATTCATTTGCACACCCACCGCACTGAGCTATTCTTCCCCAGTTTCTCCCACACCCTCCTTCGGGAGCGGGCATCAAATCGCATCGAAAGTTCCTCGGAAGAAGAAGACCGGCGGCGGTTTTGTAACGGTTCCGACAACAAGCGAGCAGAAAGGGCAAAGCACCTACGTGATGGCACAGGCACGCGGCGCTCCGGGCACGGCGGCACCGGAGCAGCTCCGGAGTTGCTGCGGCGGAGACAGGTGATGCTCCGGCTCTCACCGCACCCATCCCGGGCGCGCCCTCGGAGCCCCATTTTCACCTCCCCCTGCCCTGCCCTGCCCGCCCCCCTCCCCCGGCACACTCACCGCGGCGGCTCTCTCCTCCCAGTCGATGGGGCAGCATCGAAAGTTTGGAGGCGCGGGCAGCGGCGGGCCCCGCACGCCGAGGGGCGGGACGGGGCGGGACGTTGGGACGGGACGGACCGGGAGGACCGCCGCCTCCCTCCCTGCCTCCTGCCTCCCGCAGAGCGCCCGGCGGGCGGAGCGCCGTGCACAGCCCCGGGATGCGGCTCCGCCTCTCACGGCGCCGAACGGCTGCGGGGCGGGGGATGCGCGGCGGGGTGCGGGCTTGGCGAGGGGCTGTCCGAGCCAGAGAGCGGGGATTTAGCGGGGGAAAGGCTCCGCTAAAGGGGGGTCCGCGCTCGCTCTTCTTCACTGCTTCTTAGTGTTCCCACATCCTGAGTGCAAAGGGGACGCCTTTTCTCCGAATTGCCGCTGGAATCCTTAGCTGTGAGAGCCCCGGCTTGCAGATTTGCGGCTCTTCGTAAGAAGAGTGAAAATGCCCGTTATCGGGGCAGGTGTGAGGATGAATGAAACGTTTATGTATTCCATCTAGAGCAAAAGAAACAGTTGGTATTTCTTTAAAAGGCTGCAAAAGTAAAGACAACAGCTGCTGTGTTTACTTGAGCTCTATGCTCAGCAAAATATTTCAAAAATCTCTCTCTTGTCAGGGAACTTAATTGAGGACTAGCTCTAGCCTGCACTGCCATCTTTCTTGGAGGGGTCTGCCTTCATTACATCCCATCAGTAGGATCTCCTTAGCATTTTGCTGTGCTCGTATGTAACTTAGACCGCAAGAACCACAGACAGGGCTCCTCCATGTGTGCCTGGAGGGCCTGATTCAGCAAGCAGAGCCCCAGTCCTAAATGTAGTCGCCAAAAACAAGGACCAAAAGATCACACTCACTCAGTGGCCACTGGTGTCCCAGCTGGTGCTGGGACAGATCTCCTCCAAACTTCCTATAGAAGCTGCTGTTCGGAACAGGAATGCTGCTTTCCTTGACATCTCCTGGTTGCATTAATATTTCAGGTAGCTTCGAAGATCAGCAACATAAGCTTCCCTCTTCTGACCTCCTTTTCAACCTGAACACACTGAATGAGGGCTCTTTCGTGGGCAAAGGTAATGATCTCTGCTTTGGTTGTAACTCAGCATTACACTCTTATTAGAGCACAGAATGTAAGTAGAGTATCAAGGACTAACTTCAGCAATTTATGGTTAGTTTTGAAATTCAAAACACGTCTCGAGAACTCCCTAAGATCTTTACTAATTCAGGCTGTCTCTGATGAAGGGCTTTGCTGTTAGTCCTTCAGCCCTTCTGAGACTGTTAATGGAAAGCTCCTAGCTTATTGCCAAATAGATTTCTTTGATGGCTAAATAAAGATCCAGGAATTTCAGTTCTCTTACCTCTGTTTATTTCGTTTCCCAAATCAGTTTAATTGTGGGATTTGCTTTTTGATCTGTCAGCACACATGGATGTGTGCCGTGAGTTTTAGCACAGCCCATGTATAATATATGGCTGGAAAGGCTGTGCTTGCCTTTCTTTCTCTAGCAAACAGCATACAGTGGTTAATCCATCCCAGGGGTGATGCTCTTTTGCTCTGCTCCACACACCTGTTCTAGCTTAGCGTGCAGTCTTGCTTCTCACATCTTGGAGAGTGTGGTGAAATGCTATGATTCTTTACAATTTGCCTAGCTCAAATCTCCTGGGATCCCATAGCAAAGGAAAAGCTGTTCTTTTGTTTAACTTCCATACTCCTGGAGGAAATCAAGATGTGCAAGTTTCCAAAACTGCCAGGCCAGTGAAAGTTACACAAGGGAGAGGAGGTGTTATTTCCCATGATGAGGAGGTTCTGTGTTAAGGCACAACTGAAATACTTTATGGATATGCACTTCCAGTAAAAAACAGCAATTTATACTGCTTGTAAAAGAGTGGTAGTGAAGGATCCTGTAAACACACCTTGAATCAGATGTCATTGAAGACACCAAAATCAAGGGCAGAAAAAGTCAAGTAGCGCAGAACTGCTGGATGTGAAAAATGCCTCTGGGTGACCACCTCCAAAGCAACTGCAGATACTTTTCTCCGTGTGCACTTTAAATGAATGCCTGATAAACCAGAACAAGTCCAGAGCTCCAGAGCATTTAATTATGAACCAGATGGATCACGTGGGATTGCCAGGTTTCTTACAGCACTTCTAACAAGCTGCCC